AACACATAATTTGCTGCTTCCATTCGCAAACCTGAATGGGGTAAGCCATTTGTTCAATTGTGTGTGATGAGTGAACAGGTCCACAGGTGAGTGAGATTTTGAAAGAGGATGAAGAATTGAAAGCAAGTAAGATCAAATTTGAACAGAGTGATTACATAGAAGCAATGTGATGAAAGTGGCAGGGATAAACTCACTGGACCTGAAGCTAAACAAATTTATATCTCATCAGTGCAGATCCACCTTTTCTTTGGTAGAATATCAATCAGCCTACTTGTATCATTGAATGTTCATGGCCTCATTTCATTGTGTCATCTTGGAACCTCAAAATCAAATATAGTACATAGCTCATGGACTGATCATGAAAACATGTGCATGTGGTGGACAGATGAAAGACTGCAAGAAACTAATCTCTTGATTGAGCTGAACACAACTTATCTGTCAAGACTGTCTCAGTAATACCTTGACTTTTTTATCACCATTTATGGTATTTATCAGCTCTGAGATTCTGAATGTTTGCATCTATCACTTTGATTCCATTATATCTTTCCAAGAAGTTCATCATTCAAAGAGTTCAAATCACTCATGAATCTATATTTCTATCCTGAGACTATTTTCTTGTCAAGAACCACTCCAAGTTGTTCAATTACTCTTCTTACCTTGATTATACCTTTGATCACATTGTTCATTTCATGGGATTCAAGTCAAGTTCTCAATATCTGATGGAAAATTTGATCACTAAGATATCACACAACCTATGCCCTGAAAATGATCAATGATATTATTGGTTGATTGTAAATGAAGACTGCATTATGTGATCTCACAATTTCAATAGAAGGAAGAGAAGGTAAACTAAAGATACTTAAACAAAGGATTCAAGATAGGGTGTCTGGACACCTAATCCTCAAATTGTTTATGAGTTCAACCTCTTTTCATTGATGTTTATAAATTCATGTCTCCAAAGGAGCATGTAGGTTTTGACTTTCTCTATCTGTTCAGCCAAAATGAAAGTGTCTTAAAGATCAAGATGGGTTCTATAAATTCATCATTAGCAAGTCTAAAGATATATGAAAAATTTGGAATTCAAGATCTGGAATTCACTTTCAAAGTACTTGTGAGTTTACCTGATTGGTTCAAAGTGACTTCCTTGTGTCTCATTGATACAAGCAAAGTTTATCTTCAGAAGCTTTGCAAAAAAAAATCAAAATGCATGAAGCTCTGCAGAATCTTTCCGAGACCGACACCACTGATTTTCTTGCAATTGAAACTGTGAGTAATAGTCAAAAGTTGAACACAGGACCCGTAAAAGGGGATCAAAAAGTTTTCGAGCTCATCTGAGCCTACGCAACACTCCCCGCGGGGGTCGAACCCGCAATCTTTGGATGCCAACCGTAGTTAGAAGTCCAACGCCCTACCTTTAGACTAGGGGAGCATGTCTAGTTGGATTCCAGTACGGATTAAGGCCTTAACGGGGATACACCTGGTAGCAATTCTGCGACATCGGTTGACGAGATCAATAAGCATCAATCCAACTCCAAACGAAGAGGTCTGAAGGCCACTTTTGAATATGGAAAGTATTGACAGGCTGACCGACTCGATCAGTAAGAAGGATATGATGAAACGATTAAAGGTAGGCTGATTGTGATAATCCGATAAGGATTGGAACGAAAACATGAAGGAAAGACAAGTTCGAATGTCCATGTTGATGATTTCGAGGAGCGTGCAGACTTGCTTCGAGATATGATCGATGCTTCGTAGATCATGATGAGATCAGTGACTAACTGGGAGATGGAAAGGATATAATGATCGTGCAAATCGGAGCTGATCATAGTGCGAGGCGATGAAGCTACAAAGAGATAATCGTTGTAAGCCATGATACGATGTAATGATGATGATTTCAAGGAAGCCAGGTTTGTTCAAATTATGCGAGATGCGATGCTTTGAAAAGAGGATGGTGATCAGCAATGAAGAGTCATTAAATAGAAGCCAAAGCTGATCATCAGCTAGGTGATACGAGTTACTCCTCAGACTCCCTCTGACTCATATCGCAGCGCCACGATCTACCTAGAAGAATCAAGGTGACCCACCTACTACATCGAGGAAAGAGTACATACCGGATACACAAGTTCCATGATAGAAGCTTGACGGTGTAAAGTGACTCGACGGAGTCGTATAGCTTCAATTCTGGAACGACAGGGAACACAGCCTTGATCGAAAGTCTTCGCATACGGGTGTGAAATGGAAGAGTGATGCTCTTTGGAAGGAGGTGCACATGTTAATGTCCGTAATGTTCCGGAATCCGCAATGTGGGTCTTGACCGGGCGGGGCTGATACTGAACACAGTGCCTCGACGGCCATAGGGACTTGGCTTGAGCTTGGCAATCAAGTGTTTGTAGACGGAAGTAAACCATCAAACCCGGCACCCACAGACATCAAACTTATCAAAGTGTGGGGTGGACTCTGATAAGTTTATACCAGCATGATGTTGATGATTGCAAGCAGATGTTATTTTGGCATTGCTTAAACGTAAGGCACATTGCCTACCAATCTCAAGTTTTGTTCAATTGCTGCAACCTATGTACAAGCTCACAAGACACCCTGACATCCATACAAACACATCATCAAGCTAAACAAAACGCTACATAAGCAAGTCTATGTGGTTGATCTCGAGTCCGGCACTTTGAACGGTCCGTGTTATATGTATTCCCATCTTCAACCAGTTGATACAAATACCATCTAAAGGAATGAAACACGTATACCAGGAAAAATGAGGCCTGGTGGGTACGTGTGCGTGATTTTTGGAGATAAATCTTCCGAGAGATAAGTCAGACGCCTTCGGTGAGCAATGATACTGATTTAATATCAGATTTGATAGGTAGTAAAGCAGACTCAATGAAGAATCAAATCAAAGTCAATGTAGGATAGCAAATCGAGTGGAGTGTTGAAGAAAAACAAATCGAGTTGGAATTTAGGATCTAGAAAATAAATTTGAGTAACTCAAAGACAACTTAAGAAGTCAAAAGTCAAGAATCAAGTCAGCGATTTGAGTTGAACGATATATATAAGTGACTTGAAGTTTGATAGCTCTAGCATAAGATCCAAGAAAAAACCAAAACACTCACCACCACCACCAAGAATTGTTAACAAACCGTAAATTACATAAGGTGGAACCGGGCTAGGTTTCTATATACTCATGTTGAAGAAGAGATTCGAAATAAGATGATTCGTTGGAAATCAGTATTCTCGAGCTTTGGATATCTTTCTGCTTAGTATCGAAATCGGCGGTATGAATTAAGAATCAAAGAACCTTTAGATCCCGATAAGCTGGTTTGATATGAGTGCCTTTCTTGAGAGCTTCTGCGTACTTTTCTTCTTTCTTCTGTAGAGTTCTGATGAAGTCATCATATTCATTAGTCAAGGTAAGTTTATCATTTCGCAAAATATTAATAAGACATTCCTACCTTGGTTTTCCTACTGCCTGAGGAACACAGAATGAAGTGATTTGTGTTAGAATCGATAAACCGTGAGGTGCAGGAGATGACGCACCATTCTTGGAGTCTGGTTCGAATGATCGAAAGTTGTTTGGTTATTTCAGGTTCCTTTTTGGTTGATGTTAATGGTAAGAAATTGCTTGTGAGAGTGTAGCGAGAATGATGGGGTGAAGTTCAAGGTGGCCAAGCTTTTTGAAGTTGTGTCGTGTCACGGCAAAGACAGTGATGATCGTGACACTGAAACTGACTACAGCAAATCGATCGAAGGGTCGGAACTTTTGATGTTGTCATCTTTGTGTACTTGTAACACCGAGCTCAGCCTCAATCCCACCAAAACTCCATTCCATACTCCACATTAAAGTTCGAATTCCATCACAAAGCCAATGAAACTCTTTCGCTTCTACATATCATCCGTATATCATCACAGCCTCACTCCACGGTGACGGTACGCTACGTATCTCACGTTTCTACTTTTCCCCCTCCGGGTTCCATGCTGCCGGCGTGACGCGGTCGACGAAGCAATTGAAAAGGGGAATGCAATAAAAATAAACTGCCCGTTGCCAGATTTGAACTAGCGACCTCGGCATTGCGTTGAAGGTGAAACTCGGGTACAAGTGCCGCGCAATAACGACTATGCTAAACGGGCTTGGAGTTCGGCAATGAGGACGCGTTTAGGATCATTAGTATGAGTAATTGGATTGCATTTGTGATATCTGAGATGAATTTAAAAACGATCTAAGAAGGGGAAATCGACGCACAAAGAAGGTTGAGTAGAAGTTGTATAGCCAGTAAAGGATTGTAGATTGAGTTAAAGAACCAAAGATGATAAGAATGAGATTTGAGAGACAGACTGAGACTAAAATGAGAATGAGATGAGATGAAAATATGAAAATGAAGTGATGAGTTGAAGGAAGAAGACTTGCACAGCTGCATGGTTAAATTAGGATTGGTTAGTGTGTACATAATCGAAGAAGACCAAGAATTGAGAAGGGATAAGAGAGAAGATTGTAGTGTTAATCGTCTGAGATTGAAAATGTCAGTCTGATCTGATCGAATCAGCTGATCTGATGTGATAATTCTGTAAACAAGTCTCTATGCTGCAAATTCGACCAGTGACCACCTTGACTTGTTCAGAGTGTTTTCGTCAAATATAAGATTTACTAAACAGTCAGAAGTGGAGGCAATCAAGTCTTGACTATTGTCTATCTGTGTTTGTGAAAGATTAGAATTCGAGTTGAGTAAAGTTTATAAGAAAATCGAAATGAAGTTCAATAAGAAGCTTTCTTAAATCACCATCGATCACTTCAATCAAATCCAATCAAGTCAAATCGAATATGAGATCCTTGTACTTTAAAATGCTTGGGATTCTTGATCTCATTCGAATCAAGAATCAAGAATGCCATTGCTACTTTGATTTGGAACTTGGGATTCGAATTCAATCTTCACTTCTAAATCTCATTCATCTTTCTTTCTTTCTTTCTTTCGATTATTCTTTCTGAGTTTCTTTTCAAAATGTATCCTTCAATTCATAATTATCATCATCACCATCATCCATATCATCTCATAAGTTCTTATCCTCATCCTCATCATCATCATCATCATCACTCTCGATCACAATTTCCCATCAATTTACCATCCATCCAATCACTTCTTCAAGAAGTTGATGGTCAATCTCTTAATTCCAATCCCTTATCGTCAATTGATCTCACTTTACCACCTTTAAAATCATTCGAACCTAATCCCAATCTAAATTATCTTTATTTCCCTCAGTCTGATTCTAATCAAAATAAAATCAATCAACCTCTTCAAATCACAAATCAACACCATCATCAGATTCTAAATCAACATTTCATTGAACATGATTCGTACCATCAATCTAGGTCCAATCTAAATCGACTTTCAAATCAACTTCATCCGAATCAATCCAACTACAAACTCTCATCAAAATCTATACTTAATAGACCAAAACGTAAACAAGTTAAAAGAGCTTGTCAAAATTGTCAAAAGGTATGTTGTATGCACCTCAAAATAATCCATCAGAAAAAACCCAAAGAATAGACTTCTCTGATCACTGACTTTATGGTTTGTTCGAATTTTTAAAGGCGTGTAAAGGATGCGCTGATTCGAGACCATGTCCAAGATGTGTCATTCACGGTTTAACAAATACCTGTAGAGATGCACCAAGAAAATCAGAGCTTTCAAAATCACCTACTTCTTCTTCTTCTACATCTGCCTCTGGGTCTGGTTCTGCATCTTCATCTTCAACTTCACTACATTCATCTGCTTCTTCTAGTTCATCTGACTTATCTGATTCAAGTCTCGTAAGTAGATTCGATCCTTAATCTTTTCATTCATCTTTCTTAATCTTATTCTAATGATCGATTTCTTTTTTTGGTTCTTAGTCACATCAAAACAAACGTCTTTATCAAAGACCTGATCATCATTCGATGGAAAATGATCACTATCAACATATCAGTATTAAGTGTTCAAATGTCTTTACAAATCAAACCACTCAAAACATTCAAAACATTCAAATCCATCAAAACCATTCGATTCAAAACTTTTCAAATTCATGAAAATCGAATCCAACAGAAAACAAAACAAAACAAAATCACATTTCTTGAGATTTTTGTATAACAACAAAATAAACCAGAATTATTTTTGAAAAAGAATTCTTCTTGATAATCAATTCGGTGTGAAAAACTTTTATATCTCATATAACATATAATATATATATATACGTATATCCTTCTAATCATCATCTGTTTACCCCTTAATTTAGCAACCCTTATCATTAATTAATTTATTCATTTCTATATATACATAATACAAATCCTTAGATCCTAATCATTTCTTAATCTATTTCTCATCATCCAAGAAAAAAAGATAATCATCATCATAACAATAATAAGAATTGTATATAAACAAAAGTTGAAGTGTATCTGTAAATTGAAGATCTCAATAAATTAATGTAATCATCATGTTTTAAATTAAAAAGATCCTTTTGGAGAATTCTTTTTGCATCGTAAATGTCTCAGTCTAAGAGGACTCGGAATTGAAGATTCAAGGAAATCAAACCCATCTTGTTTTCCTTGTATGTGACAGAGAACATTTAAAATGTGATGAAATTGATCTCTTCAGGTTTTTGTTGCATGAAATTTGATTCAGTTAACTGAAAGGCTTCAAAATAAGGGTTGGCCACTCAAATCGTGGTTCCTTTTTTCTGTAGAGCTGTATGGCCCGTTTAGCATAGTCGTTATTGCGCGGCACTTGTACACCTTGTGTCATGCCGAGGTCGCTAGTTCAAATCTGGCAACGGGCAATTTGCTTTTGCCATTTTTTCGTCCTCTGTTTACATTTTACTTCAATCGGAGACTTGTACTATGACTGAGAGAGAATAATCTTGAATTGAGTCACAACTTATGCTTCATTCTTCAAAATTCTACCTCTCCTTGGTTCATTTTTTATGACATCTCAAAGCAATATCAGATAAATCAACAGTATTGAAAAAGAATAAAGCAATAACAAGTACTGATTTACTTCAATTTGTATAATAATCATTAACAAAAATGAATCTAAACACAAATGATACATTTGATCATGACTCAAAATCACTGTTTATCTCATCCTATTTCGATGATTTTCGACACACGAGACAAAAAAAATATCAAGAATTGATGGGTTATAGAGGATATCAAACTTTTATTTCAGAACCGAACATAAAAAAAACAAAAACAAAACAAAACACATAGGTAGGCTGATGAAGAAATAGATTTATCGTGCTAAATTTCCTAGTGCTTGTTGTCGCTAATTGATTCAAAGTGAAATTTAGGTGAGATGAAGAATATCAGTGAAGAAGTATGGATAGGTTGATAATTTAGTCTGGGAGACTCACAATTTGCAATATTGTATTCCGGTGTTCGGGAGCTAGAGCATCGATCTGTTGAGGAGTGAGTGAAAGAACTTGTTGGATTAATTGAGCTTGTTGAGCCGCTGCTGCTGATAATGGAGGCTGTTGTGGTTGAGCTGGTACAGGTGCAGGAGCCGGTACAGGTGCAGCTTGAGGTATGACACCATAATTAGGTACCACCTGTGGTGCTGGGTTGCTATATGAAGTAGCCGGTTGTACAGGCAAGTTGGGTCGCATCTGGGTTGGATAGGTTGGCGTACCAAAACCAGCGTTCATGTTGGCCATTCGATTTGGTTGATGGGATATAGGCGCTGCATGCTGCTGGGGCTGCGGGATAGCAGGTGCTGGGGCTAGCATACGAGTCAGGACCGAAGCATCTACAATTCCCATCATCAACATTGCCTGAAAAAGTGCATAAGTCAATTGTGGATTGGCCGTGAGGAGTTGCCTAGCTTGATCCGGTGCTGTAGCTACTAATTGCTACGAATCAGAAGAATCCAAGCGATCAAAGAATGATCAGTTTATACATCTACAAATCGAGACATAGACCGAGTTTAAAGAGATGAGCATCAATATACCTTCATTTGACCAGTGATCTCGGCCAATTGACCGGGAGGGATTGCTGCCAAGGTCTGAGAGATTTGATCAGTGGCCGCCTGTCCTGCCACCAAGGGTTGACCTCGCGGTAGATCAGGAGGTAATCCACCTATGGGTCCTTGACCGTTTCCATTACCCATTGGACCTCGTCCACCACCACCACCACCACCACCAAATTCATCACGATTGGCTTGTGCCATAGCAGCACCACGTCGACCTTTTGGAGGCGGAGGTCGACCACCAGCTTCCCTGGTATCGTGATTACCTACATCAGCAAAGTCTAATCGTAATGCTCTACCTCCGATTTCGATTCCTTGGAGATTACGAATAGCTGATTCGGCCGTTTGTGTGTCTAAATTCGAAAGGATTGAATATAGATCAAGAGATAAGTCACTAAACATTGTTCTCGTATATAACTTGCTTGATTTTCTTATTCAGAAACTAACAAATCCGGAAAACTCACCAAAATATTCACAAAAACCAAATCCTCGAGGTTTTCCTGTCTCTTTTTCAAAAGCAATTCTAAAATTTGATACCAAACTGAATGGAAAAAGAAAGTGATTTGAAATCAAAGTCAGTTTGATGGGTTCGTATTAAAATAAGACCTTGACAGATTCGCCTGAGACTAGCAACCAAAATGATAAATGCGTACCCGACTGTACTGAAAACATCTTCAAGTTGTTTCTGTAGTCTAAGCAAAACCAAACGAGATTACAGAAAATGGTCAGATCATCATTTATAAAATTGTAGAGATTGGATTACGAAGATGAACACAGAAAGACTTACTCATCCGAATGTGAGTAGGGTAAGTTACCCACAAATACAATTTTGGTTAATCCAGCCATGAATTCTTGAAGTGGAATGGTTTGAGTTGATTTCTTGGGAGTGAAGTTGGTATGTATGCGATGTAAAAAGCAGTCAATGATGTTTCTCTCGAAATGGTAAATCAAGTTACCAGTCGGTCGGACCCGAAGGGCTTCGGTCTGATAAGCTCCTGATCGGGTCAGCTAGCCCGAGCTTTTGCCTTCAAGTCCGACATACAGTTCAATGAGAACTCAGGAGGCAGCAAGGCTATTGATTTCATCACACTTCAACTTTCATCATTTGGATGAACGCACAATGCCTGTAGGCCAAAATTTACAAAATCTTCTTTCACTGGTAGCCTCATGAGGCTACACCGATAAGATTGAAGAAAATTGGGTGTAGTTGAAAATTTATTCCATAAAATGTTAAAAACTTGCTTATGTCTCTATAGTCTCAGTTATGGTCTTCCTCATGCACATCTTTCACTTCACCAAGTGACCCTCTTTAGTCTTTTGATCACAGGTGTAGAAAAGAATGAAAAGATTCATAGTCAAGATTTGTTTTGACTCTGAGGCAATTGAAGATAAAGCTGCAAAATGAGATACCCCATCAGTGAAGTCAATACCATTAGATATAACTTTAAGCAACTCCTTTTTCTCTGGAAGTTGATTTTCTCATGATTGGCTATGATCCAGGGAGTCAGCAATCCTTTCTTTAGAAGTTGAAGGAAATACATTTTGCTTACATGAGCTGAGTCTGAGAAGAGAAGATAACTTTAGGAAGTTTCCAGTCAACCTCTCAAAAGGATTCAAGTTTGATTTGATGAAAGAGAAAATGAGTGAGATTGAACAAAACCATTGATGAATAAATGTTGTTCTCAAATCTCTATTGAAGTCTGAACAATTTAAGATCAGGTTTATAATCAATGAGTAATATGCAAGTCTTGTTATTTTTGAGAAATTGATGGGTTTCATTCATCCTGCATATTCTCTTATATGTGTTTCAGTCTTAAGTTCTTTCAACTCAATTATATCTGTTTGATTCAATTATTTAACATATATATATATATATGGATGAATCATATTCCAGGAATATTGATACAAAAGATGGCCCACAGATGTGATTGTGAAAATGAAATGGTGTCCATCATCTGTTCTTATCAAGGATATATGAGCCTTCAATTTTCTATACTTTAAAAGTCTGCAGAGCACAATGTGAGCTTCTAGTATAAGACTGCAAGGGAGATATCTGAGTAGAATTTTTTAACTTTTTCCTCACAAATCTGAAAAAATGGCTATCAGGTAACTTTTATACTATACATGTATGTCAAAATATGCCAAAAGGCTGGTATAGCTGTGCACAAATCATACATAAAGAGGAGATGGTGTTGGTTATGAGAAAAGGGCTCTATGTGGCAATCACCACAAGCCACCACTTGAGACTGCCCGGGCCTGTTACAAGACACTGTCAATCCTACCTTGACATGTTGCCTACTACACAGGTTCCACTGACCACCGGCAATGAGACTTGGATAGGTTGCATTGACTGGATGGGTTGCCTGCTTTTCATCCTGTGTAGACAGATTTTGATCTGTGTAGAGAAGTTGCACTGTTGCACAGGGTGTACTCAACTGGCTGTCATCTTCAATTCTAATGCTGCCTGGATATGTTGCATTCACCAACACCGTGACAATATCTTGAGTCGGCACTTCTACAGGATTGTACTGGATGAGGCTTGAGAAGGATTTTAGTACAGATTTAAATGTATTTTACATGGGTATAGAAAGATTGTTATCTGTGGGTATAGAACAGAAAGGTTTGTAGAGGCATATAGGAGTTTATCTTTATGGGCATAGAAAAGTACTCTACCCATATTTTTCTATTTGTGCACTGATTTTCTAGACCCCCGGGAAAAGATGTCATTTGGTGTAGTGTTAGGTGTATAAAATATACTCAAGATCTAAGCAAACAGTTCACAAATGAAACTTTGAAACAGATGCAAAGAGATGAGCCCCTAGTGCTTAGTAGTATTCAACATGGATTATAGTACCAATTGTTCAACCTTTCTTCATCTTGATAGGATAAATTCCCTATTAATTCCAACAAACTTAAACACCCTCCTGATTCCAGAGCACTTTGTTGCCTTGTTGCCTAACTATATGCATAGAGACCCTAGATAGTTATAGGATCCGAGGACGGCAAGGTTCTCAAAACTAAGTTTCATGAACGGAAAATGGTAAATTTGATTGCGTAATACAAGAGATTTATGAATGACGAAAAAAAAACAAGAAAACAGAGAAAACCAAGGATTGCTTTACTTGGATCCAAGATCATAAATGATTTAATTGAGAATTATACAAAATAATGATAATAAGAATTTCAAAAGTGACTAAGATGCAACATATAACATAGAAACTGATTTACAAATTAGATCCTTGATGTATATAACCTACAGGTAAACTAGGAAAAGATGGTAAAGATGAAGGATAAAGTGAAGTATTCAAGTTTGTTATATCATAAGGATAATCATATTCCACAAGATGAAATTGATTTGAAAGTCCAGAGTTTGAATTTGATTGGTAAGCTACATTAGGCAGCTCATCTCCAGTCAAAGGCATCATAGAACTTTGAGATAGAAAAGGTTGAACTAAAGGAGGAAAAGAAGTAGGGTCTGGTGAATTGGAGAAGAAACTGAAGGGTTCTAATAAAGTTTGGAAATTGGTAAGCGGAGGAGCAGAATCTGAAAGAGATTGTGACATATCCCCAAATGGAATCACACGACTTATGTCCATTGGAGTTGTGAATGGACTAGTCGAAAAGTCACTTAGAGAAGAAGAGTTGGCGTGATGAGGTGTAAAGTCTGAATTCCTGAAACCAATGTCGGAAGATGGCATCGTTGAACTGGTGAAGATACTCGAATAATCAGTGGTGATATTCGAATTGTCCAACGTTGACGCTTGGTTTCCTCCGACAGCCGATGGTACCAAAGGAGTTGATTGGATTGTAACAGGAGACTTTTGCTGAACCCGTTCTGTTGATGGACCGCTGAAGACTAGAGGTGCCAGCGAAGGCTTCTTAGCTTTGGGTTGACATTCGTGTTCGCGTTCAGCTTGCTTCATGGCATCCAGTTTCGCTTGTTTGGTTGCAGCCATTATCGTTGCTTTTCTCAACTTGTTCATCCTTCTCAATTCTTTTTGAACCTCTACTAGACTTTTTTCAGTCTTGGCATTTTCCACAACAAGATGTTTATGGACAGTGTTCTTGTGTTGCCTAATTAGAAAAGAATGAAGACTTCATCAGTAAAGGAAAGAACTTGTGATCACGTCTACAAGTTAAATAGCTCTCACCTCCAATTGTCTAAGCGAGTGAATGCCTTGAGGCAATGGCATTCAAATGGTTTCTCCTTTGTATGCTTCCTATAAAAGATGAACCAAACAAATTCAGAACGTATGCAAGGTCACATTGCAAACAAGATAACACACCTCTCATGTCGAGCCAGGTGTTCGACACGACTGAATTTCTCAAAACATTCAGCATCTAGTACGCATGCGAATATCTTGGCAGCATTTGGCGAGTTTGGCGAGCTCTCGTCGGCGCTTTCGTAGCTCGCAGACCTTTTCCGTTTCACACTCGTAGGGGCCGGGCTCTCTTTTACTTGTTCGGTTGGCAATGACACAGTATTCGAATAATCTTCGACTGGCGGGGGTTGATGATGCTCAACCTCTAGAGGTCCAACAGGATCGTTTAAATCCTGAAAAGCGCTTTCCATAAGGTCCGATGGATTGAAGCCAATCAAGTTAAAGGAATTGGTCCAAGCCTCGGTGTTCAAGAGATTGTCGGAAGTTGAAGGTTCCCAATTAAGCTGAGTAGGCTGGGTTGGATAGAGATTTTGAGATGGCGATGCTAGCATGTAGTCGGACAAAGGTAAATAATCCAAGGTGGCCAACTCTGATGAACCTTGACTGCCAATGGAAGAACGCTGAGATCGCGTGTGATCAGACAGCCCACTCAGAAGACTGAGAGCCCAGAAGAAAAGAAGACAATATATCAATAACTTAACACGTCCTCAGTGATTGTGTTGTGAGTGACGGGGGACGGTGAAAATACAACTCGTGTTGTGGGAATTCAAGTCATGCCTCCTCTCCTCCCTTCAGATGGAAGATTGGCTGATCATTGTCAGGTAACAAGGGACGGACAACTTACGGTTGGTGGTACTGGGGTTCAAGGAACATATCCGGATTAAATTGTGCATTAAAGGACATCTTTGAGCGGTGAACGTTCGGCTGATGATGGGGATGAGAGGTATGTTTTCAGGGCTTAAGGGATGAAGTAGCGCAGGAAAAGATTTTTAGAGCGTTGTGAAGAGCAGATATTGGAGGAAATGGTTCGAGGTGAGAGTGCAAAAGTAAGAGCGCAAAAAGGTCGAGCAAGAAGTTTGTGAGTGTACGAAAGGTGCACGAGCCAAGGTGTGAGGTTTGGAGGATGAGTCTATTATCCTTCATCATCAGGCAGAGGTCCTTTTGAGTGATTGAGGACACGTTTGCATGACCTTCACCGGTCGATTTCATCAAGACGCGCATAAGTCTTTTCTTATGCACGCTGAACTTTTGACTTTGTAGCGCATGAACCGGACTCAAATGATAGTCCTGCAAATAACGGCAGCTTAAAGATGGCTAAAAGTTAATCAAGAATTCTGCTCGACATTGTGCTCAGACCTTATCAAATGATCAAGTCTTGTTTGATCAACATCAACAAAGACTCAAAACTAAACTCATTGGATTGTTTCCAGGAACGATGGAGATGTGACCGAACTCTAGCGTCTCATCAAAAAACAACTTTCTCATTGCCAGATGGGCAAAAAAATGATATCATTGCAATGCGGGCAATTGCAAGGATCCCACTGACATCATTCATTCAACTACATCGCAACAATCAAGACCTTTGGCTCTCGAATCAAACCACAATCCACTTTATTTCTTGATGAGTGGTGTTGCAGCTACTTTAAGTCACTCGGCCAAAAAAATGTTAATTGAAAGCTGGTCAAAAGTCATAATGATGAACTACATTTATCGCAGAAGCAATCTTTGGTCAAACAGATTCCGCATCACATGATCATGCTTAGGAACCTCATTTTCGTTGGTTTCCAATGCCAAAACCAGACAGATCCTCGTATTCTTCGCGAACAAGTATCATGATTTCTTTTTTTTGCATATTTTTGATATCTCAAGTGATCACTTGTATGCTTTTTGGTTTTTTTGGGTTTTTCAAATTTCAATGTGTTTTGTTTACAATTCGGTTCTCGGTGTTTTTTGTTGTGTTTTCTCAATTTACCATTTTTCTTCGAAAACTTTGAAGGTTTTGGATTTCACTCTCATTTTCTTTACTTGATTTTGGTTTTTGTTTTCTGTCTCTCTTTCCCTTCATTTAGAAATGTTAAAAAGTTTCCCTTCAACGAAAAAATGTGATTGTAATTCTTGATTGCTTGATTTTTTTGTTTGCGTCCTTGGCAATAAGAATCTTTGCATTTCTGAAATTGAGGTTTGAAATTGGATTGACTTCTGATATGAAGAATTTCAAGTCCAATCGAACAGCTTTAGGGAAGAAAAAATATCCCCAAATACAATTTGGTTGAGGTTTTCTTAGGGAATCGTCCTTTTCAGATTTCGATGCCAAGTCAGATTGCAGCCCGCGTGGAAGGAGTCCCGCACTGGCAGGCATCTTCGATTTACAAAGAGAGTGCCGCAAGCTTAGTACCTCTATATTCACAAACATGTGCATATCGATGATCATTCCATGGCATAGAGGTTCAATACTGACACTTGGTTGCGGATGGTGGTGCCAGCACTGCTTCAGACTTTTCCTACTCACATTGCTCGTACATATAAGAATGATGTTTTTTTCAAATGTTAGGCATACCCCGAGGGCGAGATGATAAGTGAGGCTCATTGGCCAATCTTTTGGACCAAAATTTTCAAATTCTTGCTTGGAAATTGTGGACACTTTTTACCAAAAAAGCACGATTCCTACATACCTACTAATTAGGGGGTATATATGGGCTCTCCAGGGTCCCCTTGTCGACATCGGAACTGCGTGCGAGTAACCCAAGCATAAATCTCCCTAAGTGAATGAATCAATATGGATATGGCATCAAAAGGCCAAATACATCACAGCATCGCCACCAATGCCAGGTAGTCGTGGGGCTGTTCTGGGCATATAGCGCGGTTTATACTTTTCAAGGAACTGAGTGGGTGGTGCGTGACCAATCAAGCTATGTACTCCCATTGTGGCCAGTCATACTTCTGACTCGATGGTAGGTTCAGCTTGTTGAGAGGATCAATGTCGATGGATGAATCCGGCATCGCCTTTCTTTAAAAGTCGAGATAGCCAGGAGCCAAACAGGCGTGGTGGAAAGTGGCTGTGGTAGATGATGAAATCTCACACCAACACAAACGACATCCATTCGGAAAACCAAATGTCTAGCTGCGCCACAGGTCGCGTGGGGATCAAGCAATTGGTCTATCGCCTGGCATCCCTCTGACTCCATATCAGGACATAATGTAACGTATCACACAAGCTCATATACACAGTGCAATCTATTCTGATCTTATCGGATCACTTGTGAATAGGTTTCAGTCTCGCAGAGTTTCGCTCGCTCATATGTGCAATTCTTTCTAAGCTAGCATTTGAGGCGCTGTTGGGAGGATGTCTGATACCGATAGGAAGCGATTTTTTGTCTCAAATCGCCATGAGAAATCTGCACGGTAGACAGTGGCTGTGAAAGCTGACTATCAGAGACTTCATTCAAACCCATAGAGACACGACCCATATTTGATTCGATTTATAGGGTGATTAGACTGTGGATGGATACAGCCGACACACTGGCACCGCTTCAGAGCCGGCTTTGATGACGAGACTTGATCGCGAGTGGATCTGGCGGGGGACACAGGTATAAATACTGAGACTTCCTCAGTCTTGGAGACCTTCCCCAGCCACTTGGACCATCACATATTTTGTATGCACCATCCCTCTTACCCTTCTCCTGGTCATTTACTCATCGTGAATTCTAATGAGATCATCTCCACTTGGACTTCTTTCGCTCTATAGGACACCGTAAAAATTATCATCTGTAGGATCTTTTTGCAACTTGCTAAAACCGTTTCTCGCACAAGTGAGTGGTTTGTTTCTTGGGATCTTATTTTCCGTTTTGAATGTGCTAATTTATTTGTATTTCGCTGAACGACCGCAAGATCTTCAACTTTCAATTGTCCTTTGACCAAAAACTTCTTCAAAATAAACTGATCTCAAGAATGGTGAGCCTATTTTCATGTAGTGCCATGGAAAATGTATAGCTCAATTGTTCATGTCTTTTGCACAATCTAGCTCGGGAGATACTTTCTATTTCTGCTCGCGTTGGCGTTGGGTACAATGGCAAAACACCTCGCGCCAAAGTGCTGCCATGTATTAAGCACACCTGAGCATACTACGGTCTGCGATGCGACACCACAATGTGGTGGTGGAAGCTATGTCGCATGCGCTGGGAATCTCCCCACCTGCGTAGAAATAAGCCACCCCTCAACTAGCCCTTATTCTCCGCCCACGTGCGCGCAAGGAAGTTTTGTGCAATGCCAATAACTGTTTGGATAGTCCCTTGTATGCTGCTAGCGTCATTGTCCTGCTTTGGGAAACAAATCCATGTTCCGTGGTGTATGTTTTCATGTGTTTGTGATGCTTGTCGTCTTTGACTGATTGTACACTCAATTATCCTCCTTTTCCCTCTTCATACCCCTGATTCTGCTATGATGTGATGGCAAAAGCTCGCATGGGGGTTGTTATTGGGAAATGTCACAATGATTCTAGATTGGCTCTTGCATACAAAAAATGGATGAAATGTCCTGTGAGACTCAGGATGTCAGCTAAGTTGCACGCCGATAAAATGTGAATGAATCAACTGATGGTAAAGGGGATTGTTCTTTCTAAAACAAGATATGTTTGAGTTTAATAAAGAAAAGGTAATTTGGTAAACAGCTCTTCCCATTTACCAGCATGTGAAAAACATGCACCAAAACAAGTCCACCAATCAATTTGAATTCAAAATGATGCTCCGAGATCAACAATGAATTTTTAGATAAGCTTAGGGTCCCGAGTTTTCAACAAATATCACAGGAAGCAAAATTATCTTTCAAATCCCATTGGTTCAATTTGTCTCAGACAATGATGTCTTTGAAAATTTAATTTCATATTCTGAATTCATCACTGGATTGTTGCCAAATTCCCAGGGATATATGTTGTATACATGATTTATATATTTTGGGAAGCCAAGTTTCAGTCATGTCACCAATCAAGCAAATCCATTGCGCAGCTAAATTCAACAAAGTCCCCCACTGCTTTTTGCACACTTTTAGTGCAACAAGGGACTTATGGCAACCAAGCACACTTTGGCATGGTTTCTTTAATTTGGCTGGTAAAACCTGCACTCTTAATTTTCTTTAATTTGGCTGGTAAAACCTGCACTCTTAATTTTGAAAGTTTTGTGGCCAAAAATGTTTTCCTTTGTCTCTGATCTAGAAAGCATAGAGCTGTAAAATACTCAAGGAACTCAACAAATCCTCCCTCTATGTGCTCCACAAGTCTGAGGCATTTTACAATGTAACTGTAGCATGACTGTAGAAGACATTTGGATAAACCTATATTTTGTATGTCCTGAGTCATGGTGGTACACCACACACCCCTTGTAACCATTTCCAAGATGGCTGGCTGAACACCAGTTAGGGAATGGTTTTTTATTGCTGGGCAACTAACATTACAAAAAGCAGCTCATAATGTGTGGTTAAAAACTGCTGTTTGGAAATCAGTTTCAATGATAGATTTCCAAACTCTGTCCAGTAGCCCCATGAATTGATTTCATGATGGGTGGCGAGTACTCACTTCATCAAGAATGAAACTCTTCCACAATTGATTGCCTCTGGGCTGTTGGCTCATAGTTTTCCAAAGGCTCAAAACCACATTCCAAGAGGAATACCAACCCAAATCCTTTGCTTGGACACCAGTTTGTCAGCTAAGAATTAACAATGCATGAATTTTTTGGGGGTGATCCTCTGCTTCTTGATAAGCTGGCACACTTCTAACACATGTTTCACTCAACCTGGGGGAACTCCTCAAAAGGATGTATAATTGATTTATGCCTCATTTTTGAAGCGGATTGAGTATAGTCAAGAATGAATCAATGATTGGTTGATGGATTTATTTGAAACAGGAATAGTGGGGTTCAAGTTAAAAAAATTGAGCTAAGATTATAGGCAACTCGAGCCACTTTTTAAGTCTGCTTGGTGCTTATAAAATGCGTGATCAGTCCACAAAAGTACCTAAATATAAGTCAGGTTGGTCTATAAAAAACAAACTTTGAAGCAAAGATACAGTTTTCAAAAGGTTGAAATCAGAAAAAATGGAATAAAATGTGTTGAAGATCGATGAAATACATTTTTTAAAGGTGTTTCTAGAAGATTCGAAATTGAAATGTGATATCTAACCCCGCTACAAGACTATGCTACTACTTGTACAGGGCTTGGTACCACAGGCCCAAATTCAACACTCCGCGCCTGGCTCCGAACCATCTCCACAAATCGATCACCTCTCACCTTCCCTACCCCTCATTTCGATACGATACTGTTCGACTTGTCCCTCCGAAACACCCGATTCGACGGTCGAACATCCTACACTTCATTTCGATACGATACTGTTTGACCTTTCCCTCAGAAACACCTGATTCAACGTTTGACCTGCTGTTGGTGTTGAGTGTCCCACACATTGTTGGCTTCACGCTACGAATGCCAGGGGCATTTGTCCCACTTCAGATCACCGTTTGAAGGAGAACATACTGAAAGAGCTGATTTATGTAAGTAATTTTTCCTCTCTTTGATGGTTGATACTCAAAATACTAACCAATCGATGCTTGTGTGATCAGACTCAAACCACCAATTCGCCTGGTTTCTTTTCAATCAATCCAAATTCCAACATGCGTCTTTCCCAACGGGCTCAGATGATTCGAGATCTCACCCTTGCCTGTGTCTGGGAACATCTAGACTCGATGAACGACTTTGCGGTGTATGATGACGAAGAGCCAGACTTTCCTACCGATGGCCAGCTCTTATATCCGGACGATCCAGAAGAGGCCGAGCTCTATGATCAGAATTTCAATCAAGAGAATGAACTTGCCGAGCTACTTACTTGGGTCAGCAAAACTCGATACCTTGTTCCCAGATTCAAAGCACCTCACGCCTCTCCATTCAACTTAAATGATATGCTACGTGAATGCCGCAAAGACTTTCGACAAGCAATGCGGACCACTCCTGAAGGATTCGAAGCACTGAGGGACTTGATTAAGGACCATCCCAGCTTCATTTCAACCAGCAATAACCCACCACCTCCACTCAAACAACAGCTTGCTATAACTCTCGAACGATTAGGCAGTAACGGAAATGGAGCGTCAGTAGGCCGGTTCTCACGTAACTACAAGGTTAGCCGTGGTCAGGTCATCAAGTGTACCCGCCGAGTCATAAAGGCCATAATCGATAGAGGTGGCCATTATCTGGCTTGGCCATCAGCTGATCGACGAAAGGGAATCTCATCAGTTTTAAAGCAAGATGGCTTTCCTGGATGTGTTGGATTTGTGGATGGAACCACAATCCCTTTGTATCAAAGGCCTGGACAAGATGGTGAAGTTTTCTTCGATAGAAAACATGATTATTCGATCAATGTGCAAGTAATTTGTGATTGCGATCGGCGCATCACTTATCTTTATGGCGGCTGGCCTGGCTCTTGCTGCGATAGTATGGTCTATGGAAAGAGCGACTTGGCAGGAAACCCAGACAAGTATTTCTCACCGGGTGTGTACAGTCTTCTTCTTTTGTGTATTCTTTTTGTCTTTATCTTGGGCTGATGAATTTCTTCGTAATCGTAGGTGAGTATCTTGTTGCTGATTCAGCATATGTTGCATCCGAAACTGTGGTTCCTTCTTACAAAGGACCAGCTGCTCAGATTGATAGGAATCGCGAATTTAATTGGTGCGTGGCAAAAGCCCGTGTTCGTAATGAACACTGTATTGGAATCTTGAAGGGTCGCTGGGCCTCGCTTCAAGGACTTCGGCTTGCATTAGACAAAAAGGAACATATGAATCATATACTCGATTGGATCAAATGTTGTGCTATCCTTCACAACATGCTGGCCAATCTTGGAAATGCATGGGATGACTTGACGGAGCCAATTACAGAAGGTAATAATCATGATAATGCTGGTATGGATGATTTTGAAGCACCTGTGGATTTAAGTGCACAAGAAAGAGGTCGTTCAAAAAGGGACAAGGTACGGGACTGGGCTGTATCTTACAACTGGAAAAGTGGTGGCCTGCCAATTGTGGATCCTCGTATTTAAAGTGTAAGTTATGATCAGTTTTGTATTCTTTCTTATTTGATTTTGATTTCACCTAACAAAGCTTTTGGATAATCTACAGGTGATGAAATTCTCTCAGATTGAAGTCAATGTTATTCAATAGTACATACGTTTTTATGAAACTTTCAATTCAAATAATTCAAATAAAAGTCGAATCCCTGTTTCTTTTGTATCTACTCACATGTTGTTCTGTTGGAAGATGTCAAGTTATATGAAAATCATGTTTCTTATGTGTCAATCAACTCGCACAGGTTTTATTTTCTTCTATCATGAGCATCTTCAATTTCTCATTTGAGATTTCTCTACAATTTCCTCGTCAAAGACAAGTTTATAATACGGTAAAAGAGAGTGAGGATTTTGCAAGTCCAATCCTTTGAACGATTGATTTCATTGAACTTTCATAAAAAACAACTTGAGGAACAGAGGAAGAAACAAACAATGTACACAATCAATAACCTTGTACTTGGTTCAACACAGGAGAATACAAATACAAGTTACATGAGTTGAACTCAGTCCAATCAACTTGAGAAGTAAGAAAAGAAAAAGGAATACATAAAAATGGACTCAGTCCAATCAACTTGAGAAGTAAGAAAAGAAAAAGGAATACATAAAAATGGACTTGAACTCAGTTCATAAAAAAGAAACTAAAAGGGGATGGAAAGAAGATTTAAAAAGGAATCTTGAGTCTAGATGACTGATTTGATTTGTTTGATTTGATTTGTTTAATTTGATTTGTTTGATTTGATTTGTTTGATTTGATTTGTTTGATAAGCTTGAAGTCTACATGACTGATTTGTTTAATTTGATGGATGGTCGAGAAAGATTGAAAAGTTTAATTTGATTTCTTTGATTTGATGGATGGTCGAGAAAGATTGAAAAGTTCGTTTTCGTCAATTGATTGTTGAAAGCCTACAGAATCGAATTA